ACCTTGACTCAAGGTCACTTCTTCCTTCCGCAGCTCCAACGGAAGACCTATTCGTTGCTTTGCAACGAGCTCGCTCTAGTTCCCTATATATTTCTACTTAAGACTTTGATCCTCCATTGTGGCCCCATCCTACCCACGGGGGTCATGATTTGAACAAAATAGAATCTACACTACCTGAGGATGCTTCCATATAAATATGATCAATCAGGGCTTTGCTGTTTCTGAGAAGAAGATTTTTAAAATTTTTCCTATACATTTTTATGTAAAACCTTGATCCTCCATTGTGGCCCCGCCCTACCCCCGGGGGTCATGATTTGAATAAATTTGAATCTACACTACCTGTGGATGTTTCCATATAAATATGAACAATCTGGGCTTTGCTGTTCCTGGGAAGAAGATTTTTCCTATATATTTCTATGTACAACTTTGATAGTCCATTGCAGCCCTGCCCTACCCCCGGTGGTCATGATTTGAACAAACTTGAATCTACACTACCTGAGAACGCTTCCATATAAATATGACTCATCATGGCTTTGCTTTTCTTGAGAAGAAGTTTTTTAAAGATTTTTCCTATATATTATTTCTATATAAAACTTTGATCCTCCATTGTGGCCCCGCCCTACCCCTGGGGGTCATGATTTGAACAAACTTGAATCTACACTACCTGAGGACGCTTCCATATAAATATGACTCATCATGACTTTGTGGTTCTTGATAAGAAGATTTTTAAAGATTTTTCCTATATATTTCTATGTAAAACTTTGATCCTCCGTTGTGGCCCCGCCCTACCCCTGGGGGTCATGATTTGAATAAATTTGAATCTACACTACCTGTGGATGTTTCCATATAAATATTACTCATCATGACTTTGCTGTTCTTGAGAAGAAGATTTTTAAAGATTTTTCCTATAAATTTCTATGTAAAACTTTGATCCTCCATTGTGGCCCTGCCCTACCCCCGGGGGTCATTGTTTGAACAAACTTGATTCTACACTTCCTGATCATGCTCCCATATAAATATGACCCATCATGGCTTTGCTGTTCTTGAGAAGAAGATTTTTAAAGATTTTTCCTATATATTTCTATGTAAAACTTTGATCCTCCATTGTGGCCCCGCCCTACCCCTGGGGTCATGATTTTAACAAACTTGAATCTACACTACCCGAAGATGCTTCCATATAAATATTACTCATCATGACTTTGTGGTTCTTGATAAGAAGATTTTTAAAGATTTTTCCTATATATTTCTATGTAAAACTTTGATCCTCCATTGTGGCCACGCCCTACCCCTGGGGGTCATGATTTGAATAAATTTGAATCTACACTACCTGTGGATGTTTCCATATAAATATTACTCATCATGACTTTGCTGTTCTTGATAAGAAGATTTTTAAAGATTTTTCCTATATATTTCTATGTAAAACTTTGATCCTCCATTGTGGCCCCGCCCTACCCCCGGGGGTCATTGTTTGAACAAACTTGATTCTACACTACCTGATGATGCTCCCATATAAATATGACCCATCATGGCTTTGCTGTTCTTGAGAAGAAGATTTTTAAAGATTTTTCCCATATATTTCTATGTAAAACTTTGATCCTCCATTGTGGCCCCGCCCTACCCCCTAGGGTCATGATTTTAACAAACTTGAATCTACACTACCCGAAGATGCTTCCATATAAATATGACTCATCATGACTTTGCTGTTCTTGATAAGAAGATTTTTAAAGATTTTTCCTATATATTTCTATGTAAAACTTTGATCCTCCATTGTGGCCCCGCCCTACCCCCGGGGGTCATGGTTTGAACAAACTTGAATCTACACTACCTGAGGATGCTCCCATATAAATATTACTCATCAAGGCTTTGCTGTTCTTGAGAAGAAGATTTTTAAAGATTTTTCCTATATATTTCTATGTAAAACTTTGATCCTCCATTGTGGCCCCGCCCTACCCCCGGGGGTCATGATTTGAACAAACTTGAATCTACACTACCTGAGGATGCTTCCATATAAATATGACTCATCATGGCTTTGCTGTTCTTGAGAAGAAGATTTTTAAAGATTTTTCCTATATATTTCTATGTAAAACTTTGATCCTCCATTGTGGCCCCGCCCTACCCCCGGGGGTCATGATTTGAACAAACTTGAATGTACACTACTTGAGGATGCTTCCACATGAGTTTCATCTTTCCTGGCCGTATGGTTCTTGAGAAGAAGATTTTTAAATGTTGCCATTATTTTTTCACTAATTCCTAATTATCTCCCCTTGAAAGAGGGCGTGGCCCTTCATTTGAACAAACTTGAATCCCCTTTACCCAAGGATACTTTGTGGCAAGTTTGGTTGAAATTGGCCCAGTGGTTCTGGAGAAGAAGTCGAAAATGTGAAAAGTTTACAGACAGACAGACAGACAGACAGATGGACAGACAGACAGACGGACAGACAGACGGACGCCGGACAAAATGTGATCAGAAAAGCTCACTTGAGCTTTCAGCTCAGGTGAGCTAAAAACTTAATAGATTTCATATTTAGAATATAATTAACTAAAAGGAACCTCTCTTATACCCATAAATCTACAAAGTAATAAGCAAAAGTGCTTATCTTCCCCTAAAACCTTAAGTTACTCTCTGCCTGGCCTGATTCACCATGCCATATCATTAGAACTGGGCAAAATCAATAAAAAAGACCGACCAGGTACAATACAGCAAACCAGAATCCTGCCGATTTTTATTACATTTTATAACGACTTTCATGTCAAAATGACAAATTGTTTATAGTTCTATTTAGAAGGTTGTCAGGACCAAACAGAGCTTTCTCAATTAAGAAAAATTGTTACCATGGCAATGTGATGATTATTATGGAACGGTGGCAAAATTATTTTTGATGAACAGCTTAAATGCTGATAGTTTGTGCGATGCATGTGACAAAATGCTTCCTTCAGTGTGCGATTTTTTGAGATTTGTAAATCACAGTAATAGACACAGCCCCAATTAACTTCTCAACAAAAAACTCCGAATAGGAACAGCCCAGCTAATAGATACACTAAATGAGGTCCCCAAAGCTTCTTCTCTGACCATTAATTGATTCTCGTACAAATTTAAAGAAGAGTCAGATGACAATTCATTATAACAACTGATTGAGGGAAGGACCTGGGAATTACTAATGATTGCCCTATTTCAATTTAAGAACTGTATACATTGGTTTACATTAAAACAAAGAGGACAATATATTTTGATCGTATATTTACAGTCATTTTTTTCTGTTACTGCAAACACTTACATTTCATGCCCAGAAATCTTAAAATTTTCTTTTTTTCTTCATTTGAAAATTTTCCCATGCTCTTATATTCAATCTGAACTCTACTGTATATACAGTTAGATCTATTCCTTCTGTAGGACACCTTTCCTCCACAAGGAATTCTATTATTAAGAACATACTTCCATGAGGAATTCGATTACAGTATAACATGCTTATAGTGAAGTGCCAAGGATGGATGATTTTACTTTGTTATAAACGTAATTCGCTATATCCGTTAAGTTCACAATCTATTTTAAACCCATGAGGAATGAAAATCACTTCGCTGTAATCATCAGTTCATTATAAGCGTGTTTGTTATAAGTGTGTTATACTTATAAGGACATAAGGACATATTCTACAAGGATTCCATCCATGAGGAATTCTATTTTTAAGAACATAATCTACAGGGATTTTAAGAACTCATTACATTTTCAACAGTGAAATACTGTGATTTATTTATTGAATAAGAGTAATATTCTCTCACAGTGTGAAAGGATACCAAAGTGATATTCTCTCACAGTGTGAAAGGATACCAAAGTGATATTCTCTCACAGTGTGAAATGATATCAAAGCAAGTAAAAAAATAATTTCTGGCCTTCATAAGCTAGAAATGGTAACTAAACCATCTTAAGACTAAAATGGACAATTTCCTCCCAAATATGTTGCTAAAATCCATGTTACAATGTTTTCAATCTCACAATTGCTAAGCTATGACGTCCCAACCACTCAACTATGACGTCACAGCCTGCGACACTGCATTAAGAAAAGACATAGGCAAAGGGAAAAATCAAAGAAAATGTAATAAACAGAAAATTCAATGTTTTGTAGTTGGATATGGAATTTATTTAACTCCTGAACAGGATTTTTTTAATATTTTCACTCGTGCTTCACTTGTGAAAATATCAAAAAACCCCACTCATGAAATAAATTCCATATCCAACAACAAACCATTGAATATCCTCTATATATTCTACAGGGATACTTTCACACAAAATCATCATGTAGCAGAGATTTGATCTTCAATGTAGATTATGTGACTAAGAACACAGTAACGCATAATCATGGTATCCAGGTATTATTTTAAAGTCTTCCTTAGAAAATATAAATGTGTTTATCATAAACCTTTTCTATGCAGACACATTGCTTGGTAATAGAGAATATCACTGAAAATAAATTATTGGTACAAAAACTCTCAGCACTAATACTGTGCAGTGATGGAGAGTTCAGCTGATGTCATGCTGCTGGTAGGGAACCCTGGCATAAAACTCTCTCTACTTACACTTGAAAAAGAGTTCAATTCATAATAGCAACTAGATAAGAACTCTTTAAATAGTCACAACATGTACTGGTATAGCATTGTCTATATATACTAACCTCAAACAGCAAAAGAGAGATTTGCTGTAGACACACTAATGGTGGAAAACTCTCTAAATATAGTAGTGTTGAAAGGAAACTCTCGATACATACTAACAGTAGAGAATATTCTAAGTTTACCATGCACAGTGATGGAGAGTTCGGATGCTGACATGGTACTGATCCTGTGCTTACCCTGTACAGTGATGGAGAGTTCCACTGATGACATGGTACTGATCCTGTACAACAATGGAGAGTTCTACTGATGACATGCTATTGGTAGACCCTGTATTTACCCTGTACAGCAATGGAGAGTTCCACTAATGACATGCTATTGGTAGACCCTGTACTTACCCTGTACAGCAATGGAGAGTTCAGCTGATGACATGCTACTAGTAGAGAATTCCCTGTCTTTGTCCTTTTTGGCTGCTTTCTGGGCTTTTCGGCGCTTCTTCTGGCTGGGGTTGTCTCCCCATAGATTGGTGCCACCATAGATACTTGGAATATTTAGAAGTGCAATACCCTCTAATCGTGGACCATTGGCCAAATCAAGGGCATAACCATCACACTAAAATAAACAAGGGTTCAATAAACATTATCAAAATTAAAGAACTGGAAAAATATTTTTAGGAATACATGTATTTTTTTAAGATTGGGTATTGGTAAGAATTTTCCTTTTTCAAATACATGTATATGCATACCTGTACTTTAAATTATATTGAAAAATAATGCTGCAATATTTATTCAGGAGAAAAATGGAACAAAAAATGAAATTTACATAAACACATACATAATAATGAAAAGGTTTTGTTTTTAATATTAAAAATAACTCAATATACTTGATTTGTTCTAAATCATACAACGAATTAGATGACTGGTTTAAAAGACTACACGTTCATCAAAATAAAATTAATATATCTTAAATTTGTAAGGGATCTAAATTTTAACTATCAAAATTTTTAATATAGCAACAAAAATTTTAAAGACAAGCATGAAAGATTTTTAAGTGGTTGCTAAAATTGTACAAACATTAGTTTTCATCTTTTTGCATCCACTGAGGTCAGCTTTACTTTAAACAAAATTTCTTTAACTTAAATAATCTCCAATTTTGCACCAATGATTTTATATGCTGGATAACTTCTAAATCATCAAACATCTGCATAATTATAAGCTGGATAACTTCTAAATTATCAAGCATCTGCATAATTATGCATTGTCCTGAAATCATCAAAACTATAACTAACTATAACTGTTATCCATTTAGACAATAGATAATTACTGATATTATTAACCAGCTCTAATATTTCTTCTTTGTGAACTCATTTAACTATAATTCTCTATTCTGTGTATTTTTTTAATGTATAACTGTCTATTTTTGTTTTATGATTTGATCAAACAGTTTGCTACCATGATAATTTGCATGCATAAAATTTTCATGTGAGCAAACTGATCATTTTCATAAAACCAAACAATCAGACAGTTATTCCTTATATTTACATTTTAACCTGATCCTTGATTCAATAAAATGATGAGATATTTACTTATTTTTATTCAATAATTAGAAATCTAAGTCTGCAAACCCCATCCAGTGTATTACTCAGCCACACACAGTGAGAAGGCAGTTTCGTCATGTGATGAGCAAATAGTTTTATGAAGATATAAAGATATTTCCTTATTTGTAGTTTTATCTTGGACAAAGGCATTTAAGAATTAAATTTTTTATCATATGGCACTGCTGGTGACATACATACATACCATTATGTCTATTTCTTCGTGGAGGTTTTTACATGTGGCAGATAGAGTCTCTGAGGTATAAAATTCAAAATACCACATCTTATTTTTCATCCTGTAAATGAACAAACAGCAATATACATATAAAGCAAAAGATAAAGTAAAACACTTTTTTTTAAATATGCATTTCTTCATTTTTTAGAGTAAATTGCACACATAAAGTGATTACTGGAGATCACATTCTAAGACAAGTTAAATCCATGTGACTATTTACATCATAAGAAAATCACTCCTATATCCTCTAACATTTGATTTCATTGCACAGACAAAAATTATTACAAATAAAACCCCACCTGCTATTAAATTTTTCAGGGTGCTTTTCTCGCATTAAATGGAATCTGTGAGCTATGGAAGCATCCTAAAAGAAAGAAAGACAACTCTTATTTTGGCACCAAACACCTTCAAGGAAAGACAACTCTACTGATACAAATACTTACAACACCAATGGAAAAGTAGTTATTGATAATATTGCATGGAACCGGGTCGCCCTCCTCCTCCTCTTCCCCCTCCTCTGGTTTACTGAATTCAATCTTCCACCTGTCCATCATGACCTTCACACTGTGAGACACTTTCTGGAGGGTCTTCCGTGGATTCTCCCCGTCATAACCTGTTACAGAACACACAATCAAACATGTAGCTGCTAGATTTTATGTTAGTACGTGTATGACTAGATTTACTGTACAATATTTCTCCCATTCTGGACAGAAGCATTAAAAATGTGCCTACACACCACTATTCTGGGAACAACTATTTCATTATTTCATTGATTTTGATAATAAATACCATTTATTTTTATTGATATACAGTGGCGCCTCGTTTATCCGGACGAATCTGTCCCCACCGAAATCGTCCGGATAAATGAATCGTCCGGATAATTGAATCACATCTCAAAAAGCATTCTCTAAGCATGTATATATGCACATTTTTGTTTCAAATGTGACAGCAAAGAAAAAAAAACTTTTAAATTATATTTTGGTTAATTGTTTTAAAAGCAGTAATTGATTAATGAAAAAATATGTTAAAATGTAATTTACACAATAAAAAAAATGAATGCGCAATTTTATGCCGAGATCTGCTTTTTGAAATGTGACAGCAAAGAAAAAAAAACTTTTAAATTATATTTTGGTTAATTGTTTTAAAAGCAGTAATTGATTAATGAAAAAATATGTTAAAATGTAATTTACACAATAAAAACAAGAGGCCCAGGGGCCACATCGCCCACCTGAGCACTATGGCTAGGAAAAAGCAGAAATCAGTTCAGTCTTGAAAGGTTGAAAAGTTTAAATATACTAGAAATATGTCCATAGGACATGAATGCCCCGCCGAGGGTGTATTAGTAATGCAACATTTTAACACAAATTGAGAAAAGTGAGGTCAAGGTCAAAGGAAAGGTCTAGGTGAAAAAATATTGATGCAGTTGAATAGCTTACATCAGTATGTATCAGCATATGAAGTTTGACACTAATTTAAGAAAAGTGAGGTCAAGGTCAAAGGAAAGGTCAAGGTCAAAAAACGTTGATGCAGTTGAATAGCTTACATCAGTATGTATCAACAAATGAAGTTTGATTATATTATCTTGAATGGTATATTTAAAACTGAGCTAAACACTAATTTAAGAAAAGTGAGGTCAAGGTCAAAGGAAAGGTCAAGGTCAAAAAATGTTGATGCAGTTGCATAGCTCTCATCAATATCTATCAGCATATGGAGTTTGATAAAAATATCTTGAATGGTATCTTTGAAACTGAGCTTTGAACAGAGCTAAACGCAAAGTGTGACGGAAGGACAGACGGAAGGACAGAAGGACGGAAGGACGGAAGGACGGAAGACGGACATGACAAACACTATATGCCCCGGCCATATTCATGGCGGGGCATAAAAACTGGTTCGGGGGGGGGGGGGGGGGGGGGGGTTGGGGTTGGGTTATGAATTGAACAAATTTGAATCTACACTATCTGAGGATGCTTCCATTTAAATATGACCAATCATGGCTTTGCTGTTCTTGAGAAGAAGATTTTTAAAGATTTTTCCTATATATTCCTATGTCAAACTTTGATCGCCCATTGTGGCCCCACCTGACTCCCGGGGGTCATGATTTGAACAAACTTGAGTCTACACTACCTGAGGATGCTACCATATAAATATGACCAATCATGGCTTTGCTGTTCTTGAGAAGAAGATTTTTAAAGATTTTTCTATATATTCCTATGTTAAACTTTGATCGCCCATTGTGGCCCCACCAGACCCCCGGGGGTCATGATTTGAACAAACTTGAGTCTACACTATCTGAGGATGCTTCCATATAAATATGACCAATCATGGCTTTTCTGTTCTTGAGAAGAAGATTTTTAAAGATTTTTTCCTATATATTCCTATGTAAAACTTTGATCGCCCATTGTGGCCCCACCCGACCCCCGGGGGTCATGAGTTGAACAAATTTGAATGTACACTATCTGAGGATGCTTCCATGTAAATATGACCAATCATGGCTTTTCTGTTCTTGAGAAGAAGATTTTTAAAGATTTTTCCTATATATTCCTATGTTAAACTTTGATCGCCCATTGTGGCCCCACCTGATCCCCGGGGGTCATGAGTTGAACAAATTTGAATCTACACTACCTGAGGATGCTACCATGTAAATATGACCAATCATGGCTTTGCTGTTCTTGAGAAGAAGATTTTTAAAGATTTTTCCTATATATTCCTATGTTAAACTTTGATCGCCCATTGTGGCCCCACCTGACCCCCGGGGGTCATGATTTGAACAAACTTGAATCTACACTATCTGAGGATGCTACCATGTAAATATGATCAATCATGGCTTTGCTGTTCTTGAGAAGAAGATTTTTCCTATATATTCCTATGTAAAACTTTGATCGCCTGTTGTGGCCCCACCCGACCCCCGGGGGTCATGATTTGAACAAACTTGAATCTACACTATCTGAGGATGCTACCATATAAATATGACCAATCATGGCTTTGCTGTTCTTGAGAAGAAGATTTTTAAAGATTTTTCCTATATATTCCTATGTAAAACTTTGATCGCCCATTGTGGCCCCACCTGACCCCCAGGGGTCATGATTTGAACAAACTTGAATCTACACTACCTGAGGATGCTTCCACATAAGTTTCATATTTTCAAGCACAGTGGTTCTTGAGAAGAAGATTTTTTAATGATGCCATTAATTTTTCACGAATTCTTAATTATCTCCCCTTGGAAGAAGGCATGGCCCTTCATTTGAACAAACTTGAATCCCCTTCACCCAAGGATACTTTGTGGGAAGTTTGGTTGAAATTGGCCCAGTGGTTCTGGAGAAGAAGTCGAAAATGTGAAAAGTTTACAGACGGACAGACGGACTACAGACAAAATGTGATCAGAAAAGCTCACTTGAGCCTTCGGCTCAGGTGAGCTAAAAATGAATGGGCAATTTTATGCCGAGATCTCCTTTTTGAAAATTCGCCTTCTCTTTGGCATGTGACCTCATGGGTTGAGCAAATTTTGATCTACTGTTGTTTTATTTTGCCATATATTATAATTATTGAAGCTCATATGATATGACAGAACTGTTCAGCATCATCATTGAAAATGTTCAAATATAAACTAACCCTGTATCTTCCCCGTACATTCATTACACAGGGTTTCTATAAAATTAACTGAACACTGCAAACTAACTCAAACAAAGTATTAAAAACATTCGTAAACACATATAAACCATCTTCATGATTATCAATATTATTTTTTTTCTACAGACGCTAAGTTTGAATCTCGATCATTAAAAAATACCTTGAAAAACGTATTCAACTTCTGTACGTATATTATTTTTTATTAGTTTTATATTATATATAATGGACGTTTGTAAACGGTAGTACATTAAATAGAGATATTTCTTCAATTATGTACCTTTCTATACTGTCTTGTGGGAAAAAAAGCGTTTCAAATACATTTACGTTTTATAGAAATGAAACATCGTATTTTAAACTAACGCAATCGACATGGTAAAGAGCATTACTAAATCGCTAGTTATTTATTGTTCATTTTATTTACAACTCTCCAAAATTCTCCTGAATTTACCGATGTATATACTGTTAGCAATAAGATTTTGAACGGATTATTATTTAATTAATGCACAGTGTCAGCAAATTCTTTGAGCTTCATAATAAAGATAAACGTGTGATTGAATTGGGGTAAACACACGCTAATTATAGACGCTATTGTTTGTAGGTCACAGGTAACACCGCCTTCAAACTGACTGCATGGCCAATGTTTTTACAACAATTAACACGAATTCAAGATAAGGGTGAAAATGTCATTTCTTGAAAAATTATCGTCCGGATAAACGAGTCATTTTTCAATGAACTATTATGTTTTGTAGTAGATATTGACCGTCCGGATACGGAACACGAATTTCCGGATTAATGAGACCAAATAACGTGGAAAAAATAGGTTCCCAAAAAATATCGTCCGGATGGTGAAGCGTCCAGACAAGTGGCGTCCGGATAAACGCGGCGCCACTGTATTGCAATGAAAAAAAATAAAGGCAATTTCATATTTCTTTTAAAATGTTGACACAGTCTTATAGATATAAGTACTTAAATATTATAAGAAACATAATATGGCAATTTAAATCATTATACAAAGAAGATCTTCATAAAAAACAAATAATCTGCATTTCTAAGGTAACTTTGGTTCTCTTGACCTGTTTTCTTTTAATTCTAGCATGAAATGTAAAGTAAATCAAACATCAGCTAAAAGGGTCTAATGTCTCACCTCCTCCCCATCGCAGACATCTGGCTAAGTCATTCCCCGTCCCCAGTGGAAGAACGGCCACGGGTGGGCGCTCAGTGAGGCCCATCTTATCCATGGCATCAATAAGCCAGCCCACCGTCCCATCTCCACCACACACCAGGATGCGAGCGCCCGGAACATCCTTAAAGAACTGTAACCTAACCACAAGAAACATAAAGACATTATGTATTTAACATACATCATATTACCATTCTGCAGCTTTGTAATTTTTCTGCACTTTCTTCATGAAAAGTCTATTAGAACCTAAGTTTGTAATTTACAATTACATACCCCTGAGTTGGACCATGCTTGATCATGTCATAAACTTGCCGTGGATTCAGTAGATATTGGAATTTTCTGATTAATCTGTTTAAATACATGGAAAATTTCATAACTGTTGTATGATCATAAACCTGTCAAAATAGTGTTTGTCCTGCTAATATTTTATCTGCTTTCACCACATGACACTCAAATGCATTGTTTGACAAAAATAAATAATCTGGGTAAATAATTTTCCTTCAACCTGTAATAAAATGAAAGCAAATGTTTCCTACTTTCCTGAAGCACATGCAGATGAAATAGCTGACTCACATTAATTCTAGAGACTTTCTTGACACAAAAATTTGCAAAAGAAATGCTTGAAATCAGAAACATTAATATTTTATATGTAATGTGATATATAAAGTGTTAACACTTGACTATACTTAATATACATTTATACATAAGCTTAAGTCTTAACATTCAGAAGACTGGACCTACTTAGCTCCCTGCTTTCCGCCACTCTTTGGATTGACAAACACAAGCAATGGATGAGATCCTGGAATTGGTGTGATTTGAAATGAACTCTGACCCTAAAAAATTAAAGATGTCACATATTAATAGATAATTCCTTTATAAATTTTGTCTGAATCATTTCAATTGAAGTCAACATGATATAATAAAAACATAACAAGATAACATGAGAGTATAAAGAAAGTCAGAAATTCCAGGTGTATCACATGACAGCTTGTTTTCAAGCAAATTTAAATATTTGATGTGCATATATGTTACTTAATAGACAGTTATATGCATAACACTTTAACATACAAATATTTCAACTTCAAAATGTATCAATACAGCTATATTAAATATAATTTACATTTAATAAAATATATTTTAAACGAAAAGAAACTTTAAGACTAAATGGTATTAAATGTTCACATGATTCTTGGCATAATCTATTTTTAAAAGTTTTGATTATGAGTAATAGGCATGATACACGAGATTATCCTGGAAATTAATAAAGCATAGATTTACACAGAGCTTTTAGGTCCTGTATACATAAGGTTAACAAGGTTTACTTCCCTAGAATACAAGCAACACTGTTTCACAATAAATACTTTTTATTTCAATTCACTAAAGACAATACAGCAAGCAAATTAAAGGAGTTGTACACTGAGAGGAAAGCTCTAGATGTTAGAGGCAACAGTCAGTTTAGGGAGAGTTAGACAGAATTCAGGTTTTCTAAGACAGCTTAGTCAGTGTGGTAAGGTCATAAAGGCATTCACTTACAAAATATATACTTTGGGATAATTTCTAAAAATACAAAAATAAATCCTCAAATTGAAGTTCCTGTTCTTTTTTCAGAATATTACTAGCTTAACTTTTATTTTCATTTATAGGTTAGAGCTATTATTTTAATAATTGTATGACATAAATCATAAGTAATACTTTAAATATTGAATTATTACACAGAAGTGATGGCAGAACATTTTATGCAAATTTTAAACCAGGAACCTGCATTTGCCCACTGAAAGTCAGAAATTTATGAAGTTTTCCTAGAGTAATGTTAATTAATTTACAAACTTGTCAGATGGGTATTTCACTGGCATTTAGAATTTTAAAGCTGATGTCAATCTTCCACACATATATATTGACCGATAAATTACTTCTCATTTATCTTTCTTTTCATGATTATCATTTAATTTTTAACTAATTCAGTGCTTTCAAAGAATTCAGTTTATTCACGATCATATAACCAACCTCCAATTTTACCACTAAAACAATGCACAATCATTCCATACCTAAATGTATTACAAAAAAATTCATGCTCATTCAGTAAAATAACAACATGCATACCAGTTTAAAATAAAGGTTACTCAAAATAAAAACAGTTCTACAATAATCTTAAACCATACATACAACGTAAGTAAAAACAATGGACCTTGGACTCCCCATTTATTTTTTTTAAAAAGTCCCATATATATTAAGCTTTTTCAAGCAGTTCTCAATTACAGACCCATAAATTCTCAGACTTTTTGTTGACAATAAAAATAATCTTGACTTTATAAATTCAAACTTCTGTTACAGAAGAACTTTAATGTGAATGATTCATGAGCTGGATGTATACATCATTAGCTAACTTCTGATCTGGTCCAAGAGAATTAAAATGTGTCATTTCATAACATCATATTTCAAAATTATAATCAAGTCCAAGACATGGTTGTTTTTACTCTATAAAATACACTGTATATGTACGAGTCGAGGTTAAAATTCAGATAAGAAATCCCCCAGAAATTCTCACCGAGCAATCAAAAGAGGCCGAATCTGACCGCTGTAATTCTTTCTTCTCATTTTTTCCTGACCTTGGTCCCTGCAATACATTTAAACCACATAATAGTTTTATAACTTGCAAACACTATAATCGTAATCTACTGATTTTAATGGAGAGGACAAGGTTCCACTGTGGATGCCACCTTTCAGTGAAAACAAGAGGAAATTTTCCACCTGCGCTTATCATCAAAGAAATCTCTTGGAACTAATTTGTTGGAACCAGTGAAAAGGTATTGAGAAGTAAAGTTTCTAATCTTTTTTCCAAAAGAAAAGTATATATATATATTTAAAAAATTAAACGTTTTTCCTTAATGTCTAATTATTATTTCTGTAACACGTAAAATGGCCAGACCTGTCTTATACAGCAATTAAAGTATTCTAAAGCTTAGTTGGATATTGATAAAATGCATCATCTGTTAAACAAAGGTAGTTTCAAATTAATCTTTGTTTTTCTTCATGAAAAATGTGAAATCCACAGTGCTAAATTTTAATACCTCCCAAGCAACACCCATTATTAGCTCAAATTGATAGTCTAAAACCTAAAGTGACCTTTACTGGAAAACTAAGGGCTAAGCAGATTCATCACCTTTTCAAACCATCCACTAATTTATTAAGTAATTTACAGCTCTTATACTAGACTTCTTAAGTAGACTCAATTCCTTGTCAAACCCTCAACCAATCAGTATGTACTTCATGTTGCTATACTTACTAAGAGTGCAACGATAAACCATTTGACGGTATATCGCGCGGTATATTTCTCCACGGTTCAATTCACGATACGCTAAAGTGATATCGCGGTTCGGTTCAATTGGTCCAGAATTATCCGAATCGTCCGTTTTGTTTCCTTGTTGACAATTTCAAAATGGCTTCCGCGCAAAACATGAGGTCTATGGTAAGGCCTTAACGGCAGTTAAACTGATCTCCAGCATCGTACAGACCTCAGATTTAACACGGTGAAGGACTTTCTGTCATTTCTAATGTGATTGAAAGTAATAGATGTTAAGACAAGTGATAAACCCTTTAGATATAAACGTATTCTATCATAATACACGACATCCCATCATGCGTGTAATTCTATGAAAATTCGCTGTCTTGTTGACTAAAACATGTTAACACGAGATATGACAACTGGTTTTCGTCGTAAATAAAAGGAATAAAAGAATAAATCTATTCCTTTTTCATCCCAATTTCAAAGGAAGATTATTGGGAAAGGTCCCTGTAGTTCCCTGTAAATGTTCGTCATTGGTTTAGAATATTGTCACAACTCAAAAATCTACCTATCAATCCAATTCAAGTTAACAAAATGATATTTTAATTATTATAAAGAAACATGACCATGTGATAAAACCCTGTCAAGTTTTAAAAAAATATGATGACAAACTTGTAAGACTTCTTAACCTAGTTGTCATGTATCGTGATACGTATCGTATTGTGAAGTGAATACCGTGATACATATCGTATCCTGAGGTAGGTGTATCGTTGCACCCCTAATACTTACTAGCACTGCTGGACAGATGGAGGTTGGGGGGAGGGTGTGCTCTCTGAACTCCCCCAGGTCACATTCAGGCTTCACTTGGGACGTGCACTTATTGTGTAACTACAAGATTATAATTACAGTAATTAAAACATGTTGGAGATACCACAATTACAATTAAGCCATTAAGTAAACTGGTTCTCTTTGTCTGGTTCTCTGAGACCCTTACTTACAGATATGTGACACCAGCGACAGTGTACGCCCGTCAGGCCATTGTAGGTTTTGATCGATTTTCTACATTTGTCACACTTTCCTGGACAATTGCCTTCTACCCAATGATGATTCAGAGTCTGTCAAAAAAATCAGCTGTTTATAAGTGCAGGTTATAATGACATGAAGAGAACAAGAAAGCTCGTGATTTAACATTGTAGTTTGAATGCACTGTAGATAAACCTCATTTTCTTGTACTGAGTGTATAGCCTTAACCAGTGCTATAGTTATTATATAGTAAAAGATAGGTATCATGTTATGTCAGATACATACATGTTTTCATAATAAGCTCAGTAAAAAATCCCAGTTTCATTCAGAAAGTTTTTTTTAAAAAATGCATTTAGTTTTATTTAGAACACTAGTATAATAAAGGGGATCAAACTTCATAAACACTCCATGTTCAGCGTAGCTATTAACAATTACATGTATCAAGAAAAAAAAATACATATACCTGATATTTTTAATTAAATTTTTTTTCATCTATTGGTTAAATTTCTTGCTCTAAATCACAGGGAGATAAAGAAGAAATTTTTCCATCATTTAAAAAAAAAATACAAATAAGAATACGAAATTTAAAACAGAGTGCACTTTACAGTCAAATCCAATACAAAAACCTGTAATATTACAATTTTATAGTGTAAATAAGAGTTGTCTCCCTTACTTTAAAAATATATCATACCAGCATCTAGAGGACAGCAGGTCAAAACCTTTCTCTTACTGTATAAATAATTATATAAATTACTTTATTGACACCAAAACAGGTATCATGTGTCTTACCTAAGGCTTTATGTAGGCTTAATAAAGATTCTCAGCTGGATAATCTATTAATGTAATATTTATGTAATTTGGAAGCAAAACTCAGGGAGGAGGGAGACTCAGTATCAGAATCAGGTAACTGGGTCATCTTGGAATTATTGCCAATCCCACAAAAAAAAACAACTTTTGTTTGGGTGATAAATTGTTGTGTACATTATAATCATGAAAAAGAAGCATAAGAAAAACGAGGCCCATGGGCCACAATGCTCATTTGTGTTACTTTGGCCATGCTGTTCTTCACCAGATCCCCCCCCCACCCCCTCTGTAATAGTTATTGTGGCCCCAACCTACCTCCGGGGGCTATATGATTTCGACAATTTAGAATCTACACTACTCCAGGATGCTTCCACATAAGTTTCAGCTTTCCTGGCCCACTGGTTTTTGAGAAGAAGATTTTCAAAGATTTTGCCTATATATTTCAATGTAAAACTTTGATTCCCTATTGTGGCCCCACCCTATCCCCGGGGGCCATGATTTCAACAATTTAGAATCTACACTATCCCAGGATGCTTCAACATAAGTTTCACTTTTCTGGCCCAATAGTTCTTGGGATTAAAATTTTTTAATGACCCTACCCTATTTTTGTCTTTTCTTGATTAGCTCCCCTTGTAAATCACTTAAATATTTTAATGCCCCTTCACCCAAGGATGCCCTGTACCAACATTGGTTAAAATTGGCTCAGTGGTTCTTGAGAAGAAGTTGAAAATGTGAAACGTTTACAGATGGACAGCTAGACAGACAGCTGGACAGACGGATGACGGACAACAGGTGATCAGAAAAGCTCAGGCGATTTAAAAAAAAGAAAACAAACAAAAAAAAACACCTATAATTTATATTAATTCAGAAAACTGTAATATTATAGTTTTTCATACTAGACTGGACTTTGTGCTAGACGTCAAAAAATTTCTTGCAGATAAACTTTGGTCAAGTGATAATCTAGGCTTTAAAATGGCAATTATTTTTTAAAGAAAAAAAAATAAGCATTCCTTTTCACCTGTAGAAAGAAATCATAATCTATAATATTAATAAAATCATACTGCACATGCTTTTTTAATAAATAATTCCAAAAATGAAGAATGTTGGTGTTGGCATGAGGTACAGACATTAAAAATAAATGCTATATCAAAGTACTGAAAGTACTGAAAGCCGGGCTTTAATATGTTCGAGTGTATTGTCTAATCCTAAATTAGTACATATTTGAAAATCTTTCTTTCTGACCATTGATATTTAACAGGTAGAGTATGTATGATTATGATTAACAATAACCCATCTACCAATAATTTACGGTCCAGAACCCAACGTTAAGACCCCAGGATAGGACTTGGTGATATTTTTCATGAAAATACATTTATACCTTTCTAAACATTAAGCTCACAGTGGTTATGCATGGTAACAGTGCACTTTGAGTGGTTTTGCTGATTCATACAGGCACATATATAGTATCGGAGGAGCTAGGGGTGTCACCATTTTTCAAACATAAACTTTTACAATGGACATTGTACATTGAAAGGTTGATTGACTCTTCGCAATCAAATTTAAATTGGAACTTTCATCTCACTCTTCGTAATATAAACCAGGTATTTATCACGAGCGACGAACAGATTTACTAAAAGCAAAATGGATATAGTCTAATTTTAATTAGATTGTACCATCATTTTATTGTAGCATATTAAAAGTACGGTAATTTGGTAATGAATTAATGAAATTCGAAATGTGAAAGTAAGTTGTAGCCCACCCCTACTCCTTCTCCAACGGAATAGGATTTTCGGGTTTGGACAATTCTCCTTTTTTCTGATAATGATACTACATGCCTGTATTAATCAGAAAAGAAATATTCTTTATTTTTGGTCCTCTAGGAAACCAGCTGCACGAAAATTATAATTATCTAATCTTTATGACATGAATATGAGTCTAGTTCTAGTTCCAGGTTCGGCCATAATGGTCATTGCCTGAGAAAATCATGATGTATTCAGGTCTTTATGGCTCGTACATAGATGGCTCTTCATTCTGAACAGGAAGTTTTGAAGCAAAGACTAACCAACTTTTTCTGAAAAATTATAATGTGTTGTACTTAGATAAAGACTAATGAACATTTTTATATGTTGTTTTCTTTTAATTATATATTAACATAAACGAATTTTATTTCCGAGCACCCTTGAGAGCTTTGCATGTGTTTTAAGACCTTTTTTTTGGAATGCGCGCGCACGCTCAATATACTGTAAAGCGCTTTGGGAGCACATGCGAGATGAATCCAAGGTGAGAAGTCTCGAACAAAATTTTCACATTCAAAACATACCATTGACTTTTCACTAAAAATTTGATCTGAATTTGTAAGCATAAAAATTTTCGACGCTAAATTGATTGTTAAATGGGTATAAATAATTTATATATTATACATAAACATATTCACATGAAATTTCTATCTTAAAGTTTACATTTTTATTTATTTATATTCCATGCTTCACAGAATATAAATCTTTATCCCAGTCATTTAAATTAATACTATTAAATTAAAATATTAACCAAATGGAATCGCATTGTTTATTTCATATTATGAAAGAAAACAAATAGTTTTGAACTTCATTTACATCACCTTTACACAAGATCTTAGCCGCTCGCGTGGCGCAGTGGTAAGAGCGTCTGCTCTAGAGTCGCGAAGTAAGGAGTTAATCCTTACGTCGCGGGTTCGAATCCCACTGTGGGACGTGGAGACCCTGTAAACCGAGGTCCCGTGTCGCAATAGGTGCTTGCACGAAAAAGATCCCTCACTGCTCAATGGCCGTAAGTGCCGAGTAGAGGACAAAATTTGGAGCTCTCCACCGGCAAGTGGTAGTGTCTCCATATGAGTGAAAAAATTCTCGAGAGGGACTTTAAACAACATACAAACAAACAAACACAAGATCTTAACCATCATAAGGATTTTTTTTTCGAAATTATGTATTAGAAAGGAGAAAGTTATTTTAATTGCATTCAGGGTTATCGAAGTAATACCGTATTTTCAAACCCTTTTCTTTAAACGCATTCAAATTTTAACTTATTTATTTGAGTAGTAATATATTGAAAACATTACAGCATTACCAGTATTACAACTGTAAGATTAATCTTCATGAATATTTACATACATACATCATTAGGCTAAAAAAAAATTGTTTGTTTCCGGTTATACCCGACTGACCTCCTACACATTTTTTTTTCAGAAAATTACGAGTATCCGTAACTGTCTCTTTGTTTTACGAATTCGTAATGGCGGCGCACTTGTTTGCTGCAAGTAGTCGGTGTTCGCTGTTATTTTATGCCGTTAATATAATCATAAAATCATCATCTTTTTGCAATTATTTTGAAAGGAAAAATTTAATAAATTGTCTCCTGTTAAGCCGTTTTCACAAGATCAACCCTGAAAATATCAGCAGAAATTAACACGGTATCGTACCAAATTACATCATTCTGATAAATGACCACCGATGTTTTTAAAATTCATTATTACATTAAATTTCTTGCCATTCAAGACACCTTAATGCTATACTGATCTTAAAAAAACAATTACAGATATCACGACATTGTCAGTGAGCTTACTGTTTATACATGCATCACGGACGTAAATTCAGACTAATTATACTATAATATCAGTAAACGAACAAAAAATGTCATACAATTTTTTTTAATTCTACCAATAACATATGGCTAGTGAGGAGAATATATAATCATTTGTTTTATTTAATGTCACTAATTTAAACATTTAAGGTCACTAATTTTAACTTTTAAGAAAACAATTAATTTTTTACAAAAAATGTTTGTCTGTCAATTGCCAAACTTTTTTTTAAAAGAATGTTGAACCATATGGTTTGCTGATTTTTCTTTAGATATATTTGAATTAGAAATTTATTTAAAAAAATTATATTCATATTGGTTTAATAATTTATGTAATTCATAGTTAAAGAAATGCACATATTTTTAGAGATATTCTTAAAGTTTCAAACAAACAGTACTTTTATCGCCGACTAGATACACCAGATACACCATGTACAATTGTCAGGCGACCTAATTCATACGATGGCCGACAGCGGCCGCCACTTTTGATTCTGAATATTGTCATTTTGTACAGCTTTTTTGTCAATTTTCGTTGACAAATTACAACTAAACTGGTAATGCTATATGTTCATATACAGTTTTTACACTGACAATTTACACTGGAGAAAATCATTAAAATTCTTTCTTGTGATATGAAATGAAGATACATAAAACAGGTTACTTGAAGGTGATAAGC